CTAGCACTAATGCATATATATATTTGTAATAAAAGAGTGAACTTATATATTGGGCCTATGTAAACTAATGTATTGCCAAAATTATTTATATTAATAATGTAAAACGTTAATATATATTACATAATAAATACTTTCATTATAAATATTATTTTTTCTTTGTATAAATTAAACTATATAATTTATATAAATTAAACTATATTAATTTTCCTTTGCATTATTAATCATGTTTTTATCTAATTTACATTTAATTAATTTTATTAAATAATTTTATATAATAGGTCTATTTATTAATTTAAATATCATAATAAATATTTTATTATAACATTTAAAAAGTAATCATATTAATTTTTTAATTACATCATAAACTAAAAAACTCATAATTTTATTAAAATCTTATAATTTCGTCCATGGTAATATATAAGTCAGGTAAATATCAGATCAAGTCATTAACAAGTCGGATCATTTACAGGTCAGGTTAAAAACAGGTCAGGTTGAAAACAGGTCAGGTTGAAAACATGTCGGGTAATACCAGTTATTTACCAGGTCAATCTCGGGTTCATATCAGTCGGATGCAGTTCGGGTATCATATTTTCGGTTCAATTCGGATTCAAGTCGTTCTCAGGTCGGATGCAGGTCGGGTTCGGATCCACAATTTCCAGGTCCAAATCGGGTTCAGGTCAACACCAGTTCCGACTCGAGTCGGTTTCGGATCGCCACAGTGCAAGTCAAAAACAGTTTTGACTCGAGTCGGTTTCAGTCAGTTTTACAGGTCGGGTAAGCTTTTTACAGCCCTAGTTGCATGCGCCTCTTCATTTTCCATGACTTTTTATTTTGGTTACGGTTTTGTTGGACGATATCCCCGGTGTTATCGAGATCAGAAGGTCGGTGTCCACCGAGTGATCAGTACAGTGGTGCGTATCGATTATGACTACTTTTACGGTGAAGAGTGCATACACACCCGAAGTTAATTGATAGTGAACTTTTATCCTTTGCATGCATGCAAGCTGGAAGGTTATATGGAGTTTTTCACTGCCTCAACGTTTTTATATTATCCTCAACCCATTTACAAATTAAAATGAAGGTTTAGGGCAATATATGATATAGAAGAAAATTTACTATCCTCTGTAAGAAATATATACCTACACTACCAGGCTACGATTGAAAAACTACATATAAAGATGTACTGAGGCCATTATGAAAAGTTGTATTAATGAAATCTCTCTAAATCTTCTTCCAATTCTTCTATTTCTTCTTCTTTTCCTACTTATTCAACCTTGAGCCTAGCCAAATTAATAACTAATCCCATTACTAACTCGTCACGTTACCAAACTAATATCATTTAACGTTTCAGTGACCAAAACGTTTAAATCGGTAATATAAATAATCGAAACATTACTTTTTCTAAATTTAATGACTAAAATTGAACTCGTGAAAAATGATCATTTCAATAGTTTATTTATTAATTTTATGTTGTCTTCTCTATTTCTCTTCATATTTTTTAAAATTATTTTAAAAATGAATTAGTTGAATCATGTCTCCAAACTATAACCTTTATTTTATATTGTTTTTTAAAGTTCTGAATATTTCAATTTGATCCTCAAATCATGAATCTCATTATAAATTAGTCTTTAAACTTTTTAACATTACAATTTCATCCCTAAACTATGACCCTCTTTTTAAATTGATCCCCAAACTTTTGAATATTCCAATTTCATCCCAATTTCATTCAAATGTAATTAGTTTCAACTATAATTTATCTTAAATTTTGTTTTTTTTTCCAAACATATATTAATAGGCAAAAAGGTATAAGAGGTCCATGTAGTTTAAAAAAACTAATGTTGTTGTTTTTTTTTTGAGGACCAGATTAGTTTTTTTAAGTTCAAGGGCTTATTTAATTTTTTAAAAAATAAAATTTATTTTAAATTTTAAATATATAATTATTCAAATATTAAAAAAATTAAATTTAAAAAAACACTAAAAATAAAATTAAATTACTAAAAAATGAATATACGTATTAAAACTACTTAACCTATTACAAAAAATTATTTTTTAAATACATATAATATGTTATAAAATGATAACTTATAAATTATTAAGAAATTAAAAAAATATGTTTAAAAAGATATATTATACATAATATATACATATAATATATAGGCATATCATCAACACTTTTACAAAGTATTCTCACTGAATTAATCGAGATTTATAAAATTTAAATTAGTTGAGACTTACAAATATTGGGTTAGTCGAAACTTACTATGTTTTCTAATTATCTTTTATCTCAAAACTTATTATATAATTATCTTTTAAATTAATCAAGACTTACAAAAAGATAATTGGCAAACATAATAAGGTCCGACTAATCCAAAAATTATAAGTCTAGAATAATTTATAAGTAATTATTTTAAAACCAATCATATATATTCAATTTATTTTTAAAAAAAACTTGATAATAATTTTAGCGTTTTTAATATGTACTTATATTCAAATTTTTTTAGTAATTTAATTTTTATTTTTAGTATTTTTATATTTATTTTTTTGAATATTTTAATAATTTTATATTTTTAATTTAGAATAACTTTTATTTTTCAAAAAAAATAAACCTTGAACTTTAGAAAAACTAATTTGACCCTCGAACAAAACTAAAAAAATTAATTCACCCAATTTCCCATGTCATCCGCCACATCATCAGTCACCGTGGACTGTCACGTCAACATCGTCAACTACCACGTCAACATCGTCATCTTCCATGTTAGTACTATAACAGTCTACAAAGGGTCACATTGGGTTTGTTTTCTGAGTTGGAAGGCCACATTGAGAGAAAAAATAATATGAGGGCTACATTGATTTTTTTTAAAGTATAGGGGGCTATGTTGCCTTTTTTACATAATAATATAACTTTGCCTAACAATTTTTATTAAAAAGGGATGTGATTAGCATATACGTATAGTTTGGAATGAATTTGGAATGTTCAACAAGTTTGGGGACTAATTTAGAATGAAGGTTGCAGTTTGGGGATGAAATCAAAATGTTCAAAATTTTGAGGACTAATTAGAATGGTAGCATTGGTTAGGGTTAAAATTGGAATATTTGAAAGTTTAGGGACTAATTTTAAATTAAGATCATACTTGGATATGTGATACAATTAACTCTTAAAAATAAAGACTGTAGAAATTAAATGTCAACCAATGAGATAGACTACAATTGAAGAAACTGTTTAATTCCCCTTAACTTACTTCGATGGAATGAGTAAAACGGTTGGGAGTTTATTAGCTTATAAAAATAATTATGGTAAATTATTTTCTTTGTTTTTCATTATAGTGTATGTAATTTAAAATATTGTTATTAATTTAACTTTTGATGAAACTAGTACTATTTTAGTACATGTCCCTTCAATTTGGACCATGTTATGTAATTATATTTATAAAAAATAATTATTTATCATATATTATATGTGATAGTTAAATGTTAAAAAAGTCAATTTAATAATTCATTAAAATGTCGAAGATTTTTTTACATTAATAATTTAAAATTTTGAGCGCTTAGAAGATGCACATGGGAATCGAACCCGGGGTTCTCGGGTTGAAAAAACAAGGCTCAACTATTGAGTAGAAGTAGTTATTTGGTTTAAAATTGACTACATATATTATGTATGTCATATATTAATTTAAACTTAAATTCTTAATATTTTATGTATTTTAACTTAAATTTAAAATTCGATGTTCATCGGTGCGCGTCAAACGTGATGAACTCATCCTTTAAGTTATTGATAATTTCAAAATTGTTGAAATAAAATTTTTGTTTCTTTCATTTTTTTATTAATTATTTTTAAAACCTTTTGATTTTAAAATTAAGTAATAAGTTCCTTCATTTTAAAAATTTAATTATGTTCTAAAACTCTTTTTTTTCAAAATTTAAATAATTTAATCATAACTATTTCGTACAATAGCTCATAAAAACCATAGAAATTAGTTTAACATATACTAATAAGGGTAAATTAAAAATTGTACCACTTAATTTTCTTGTCATTCTTATTTTGATCACTAAAATTTAGAATTTTTTTAATTTACCCATTGAACTTCTTATTACTCCTATTTTGGTCATTGTACCATTAAACACTTAACGAAATTATGACTGAACATTTTTCTTTTAAAAACATGGAATAACCCCAAAATTTTCTTCATTTTTATGAAAAAATCATAGTTTTAAATTCCCTTTGATTTCTCAATAATGAAACATATTTTTATCAAATCCCAACGGTTGGGAGGTGGAGAAGGAAGAAGTGAGATGTATATCTTAGTTCTATGTTGATCGGATGGTGGATATTGTATATTAGAATGGTTTGGGAATTCATGAGCTCTGGGTTTAGGGTTGAATTATGAGTTTTAAAGTGATTTAGGTCAAATCTAAATTAATAAAGTAGTAGAAGAAAATGAGAAAAATTCATCGATATATTGAGTAGTAGGAGAAGACATCATAGAATGGTAATTGTGTCAGCGTGACATAAAGATGAAACTATAAGAACTTTCATCTTTGGATAAAGAAGAAAAAATAACACAAAATATAAAGAGAAAAGTGGCATGGATAACAGATGAATCCTTTCTTAATAGAAAGCATCCAACATCAGCACACGTGACCCGTGGTTGTTACTCTTATATTTATGATTTAACACCTGAACGACTAAAATAAAAGTAAATTAAAAGTTCATCATATAAATTGAAAATTTTGAAACTTTAATTCATAAAATAAGAATGATAAGAAACATAAGTGATGAAGTTTATAATTTATCCTATTAATAAAGTGGAAAAATTCAATATGTGTGTGAGCAAAGAAATTTCCTATTGCCTTCCGAAAACCAGAGCCGTCGTTTTCATGTTTACCGGTCAAAGTTAGGCCCCCCAAAGACCCGTTGTCTGCACGTCCGATCCAGGCAAGCGTTTACTATTCTTTGATTCCCTTGCTTTTTAAATCTATAAATCTCTCTCAAAATCCAGCCAATCTCCATATCCAAATCCCAATTTCCAGCATCAAAATGGCGAATTCCACCACGAAAACAAGCTTCATCGCCATTATCCTAGCGGGAGTTGTGGCCGGAATGGCTATGGCTCAATGTGGCAACACTTGTTCGCCGGACCAGTGTTGCAGTCGGTTCGGGTTTTGCGGGACGGGTTCGGATTACTGTGGAGTGAATTGCCGAGGTGGTCCTTGTGTTAACAACGGCGTGTCGATCGCCGATATCGTTACGCCGGAGTTCTTCAACGGGATCTTGAGTCAGGCGGCTTCGACTTGCGTGGGAAGAAACTTCTACTCGAGAGGCGTCTTCCTCGATGCTCTCGGTTCTTTCACTCAGTTCGCAAGGACCGGGTCCGTCGAGGATTCCAGGCGCGAAATTGCGGCTTTCTTCGCTCATGCTAGCCATGAAACTGGACGTAAGTATCTCTTTTCACGCATGAAATTATCTATCAAGGAATTGAAAATTTTAAATTCTAATTTAAACAAAGTATTTATTTTTTTCAATTTTTATTAATAATTTATTTTCACATTTAAAATTTTATAAGTTTATTCCAATATAAAATATAATGTTCATTTCTTGATAAAAAAATCTCTAATATTTGATTAAGTAATCACTTTAACTCCTATTATTTGGTTGGAGTATTAATTTTAACCTCCAACATTTTATTTTTGGGGCAAAAAAAACCTTAGGTGGATGGAAAATGTTAAACGCTTAGGACTCCAAAATAGTAATTTTTTCCCTAAAATAAAACGTCGGGTAAAAATGTTTCAAAAATAATAATAAGAATTAAACTGATTATTAAATCAAATATTATGTACTTTTTATCTTAAAATAAAATGTTATAACTAAAATACTACATGACTATTTTCTGATATTATAATTTATATATATATACAGGTTTCTGCCACATAGAAGAGGAGGGTGGAGCCTCACAGGACTACTGCGACGAGAGAAGAACTGAGTATCCATGCAACCCTAGCAAAGGTTACTATGGACGTGGACCACTGCAACTAACCTGGAACTATAACTACGGACAAGCCGGTTCCGACATCGGATTCGACGGCTTAGGCACACCGGAAACTGTCGCCAACGACCCTCTTATATCGTTCAAGGCCGCCATCTGGTATTGGATGAACAATGTGGCATCGGTGATGAACCAAGGGTTCGGGGCGACTATTCGAGCCATTAACGGTGACCTCGAATGTGACGGTAAAGATACCGCTAAAGTCGAGTCTCGGGTAAACTTATTCACCCAGTATTGTAGCCAACTTGGTGTCGCTTCCGGTGATAATCTCAGGTGCTAGAGTTTTAATTGTTTTATGTACTTAAATATGCAGCTTTAATTTTCATGCAATAACGGTTTAGAAATGCTACTATCATTTTCTTGCTACGAGGGAAAATGAGATCGATTTGAATTTTGATGTTGTTTCTTAAAGGAGAATAAATGCAATAGCAATGAAAGTATGGATTAATCATATACTTCAACATCTACAGTTGAAGAATTTAATTTGGTTTTTGTTGTAAATTTTTTAGATTTTCTTTCCAAATTATGCCAACGGTATCATTCTTTCAATCCTCCGAAACTTCATAAGATGTCCGAAATTCCAGAGTGTTAAATTAAGATTTTGATATAACAATAAATTGTAAAATTGATTTTGGACTTAATGAAATTGTCAAAAATTTATCAAAAAAAAATTAAAGTTCAAATTAACTTTGTTAAAATGTAAACCCAAAAAAATGAAAAAATACTTTTCATATCCACAAACTTCATAAACTTACAATTTGTTCACTATATATACAAGTATCAATTCTAACAACCTAACTAATTCAAAACTGCTTCTAACTAATTAGTAACAGAAAACTAAATGTAATCTTAACACTCCCCCTCAAGTTGGATGTTGAAAAACATTTTCAACTCCTAACTTGGATAACAAATAACTATGTTGTTGTCTTCCCAAGGCTTTTGTCATGATGTCTGCAAGCTGCTCATGCGTTGAAACATGTTCTGTTTGAATCATTCCTTCCTGAATTTTTTTCTCACAAAATGACAATCAATTTCTATATGCTTTGTTCTTTCATGATATACAGGATTGGAAGCTATTTGAATAACGGCCTTGTTGTCGTAATAAAGCTTTCTGGTTTCAAATCTTTCATACCAAGTTCTGCAAGTAATCCTTGTAACCAAACTAACTCAGAAGTAACTACTGTCATAGCTCTATATTCTGCTTCTGCTGAAGATCTTGCTACAACATTTTGTTTCTTTGATTTCCATGAAACCAATGAATCGCCAATCTTAATACAAAATCATGTCACAGATTTTCTTGTCATTGGACATGATCCCCAATCTAAATCACAATAGGCCGAAATTTCTGAAATTTGACAGTCTGAAGAAGATCTCAACAAAACTCCCTGTCATGGATCCTTCTTTACATACTTGACTATTCTTAAAGCTGCCTTCATATGAGACCTCTTAGGTTGTGGCATGAATTGACTGAGAAAATTTACTGCATATGTAATGTCAGGCCTTGTATATGTCAAATAAATCAATCTCCCAATAAGTCTTTGGTAAACTGATTTATCTTCAACTAGATCACACTCATCTTCAACATCATGATGCATAACTTTATCATAATCCAAAGAAGTCAATTTCAAATTCTGATCTAATGGAGTAGCAACAGACTTGGCTTCTTCCAAACCAGTATCTTTGATTAACTGCAGTGCATACTTTCTTTGATTCAAAAGTATACCTTTTTTTATCTTAATACTTCAATTCCCAAAAAAAATACTTCAATTCATCCAAATCCTTCATCTTAAAATGGATATTCAATATTTACTTCAATTCAGTAATCAACACACTAATATCACCTGTTATTACTAAATCATCAACACATACTAACAACAAAGCCATTTTACCTTGCTGCCTCTTAATGAATAGAGAATAATCATACTTGCTCTGAACATAGCCAGCTGAAACCAAGGCTTCTGTAAGTTTCATATTCCATTGCCTGGAAGCTTGCTTAAGGCCATACAATGATTTTTGCAGTCTACACGCAATCATCTCCCCCTGACTGTAAAAACCTTCTGGTAACTGCATATAAACTTCCTCAGAAAGATCCCCTTGTAAAAAAGCATTGAAGACATCCATCTGCAACAATGTCCAATTGAAAGTAGAAACAAGAGCTAAAATGGTTCGAATAGTAACCATTTTGACCACAGGAGAGAATGTATTAACAAAATCAATTCCCTCTTGTTGATTATAACCTTTAGCAACCAAGCGAGCTTTATACCTCTCAACCTCACCTGATGCTTTGTACTTAACTCTGTAAACCCACTTACATCCAATAGGAAATTTTCCTGGTGGTAATGGAATAAGGGACCATGTTTTATTAGATTCCAATGCATGAATTTCTTCTTTCATTGCTTGAACCCAAAGTGGATCTTGAACAACCTCAGAATAAGATTGAGGCTTAGAAATTTGAGAATAGAAGACAAAAAAACTTGAATATGAGTAGGCAAATGAGAATAAGAAAGAGAACTAGAACTGAAAACTGGTGAAGAAGACTGACAAGAACATACAAAATTGTTTAACTAAGATAGAGGTTTAGACACTCTAGAAGACTTCCTGGAAGGGACATGTGCACTTATTGAAGCAGAAGGCTGGACTGGAACATGAGAATCATGTTCATTAGCAGCAGAAACCTGCTCAGTTGGAACACTATTTTGAGGAATAGAAGTGTGAGAACTTGGAGAGTTTAACACTAAAAAATCACCATCATGAACAAAAGGAATAAATGGGAAAAAACAGAAATATAATCATAAAAGGAAGAAGAATGATGAAAATGAAATTGATCTTCATGAAATTTAATATCTCTGCTAATGAATAATTTTTTTGAATCTAGATTAAACAACAAATAACCCTTTTGAGTTGGAGAATATCCCAAGAAAACAGAAGCAAAAGCACGATAATCAAACTTATCACGAGAAGTAAGATTTGTTGCAAAACATAAGCATCCAAAAAATCTAAAATGGTCATAAGTAGGTGGTTTATGATATAAGAGTTCAAAAGGAGTTTTCCAAGACAAGACTAAAGAATGCAACCTATTAATAATATAATAGGCAGTTAACATACACTCTCCCCAGAATTTGAAAAAAACTTGAGATTGAAAACAGAGAGCCCGAGCAACTTCCAAAAGATGCTTATGTTTACGTTCTGTAACCTCATTTTATTGAGGAGTACGCACACAAGAACTTTGATAAATAATTCCCAAGGATTTAAACAAGGGAGAACAATCAGAATTAAAAAACTCACGACCATTTTCACTACGTATGACTTTAACTGAGACAAAAAATTGATTTTGAAGCATTAAGATAAAGGTTCGAAGACAAGAAACAACATCATTCTTAAGCTTTAATAAGTACACCCAAGACATTCTAGTATAAACATCAACAAATGTAAAAAAACCTTTGAAAAGCATGAGTATATATACGATAAGGTCCCCACAAATCAATGTGAATCAAGTTGAAGAGATTAGTAGTCCTAGAACTACTAATTGTAAATAGAAGCCTAGACTGTCTAGCTAAATGACAAATAGAGCAATTTTGAACAGAATCATGGTGCAAAGCAGCATTATGAAACATAGGTAATATACTTAATTGAGAAGCTGGAACATGTCCTAAACGAGCATGCCAAAGATGTGTTTTATTTGCATCAACAGATTTACAAGTATTGAGAAGAATTTAAGAACCAACAGAAGATTTACAAGCAGAATTTTGTAAATTAGAAATAGAAAAAACAGAATTTAAAGGGAACCTGAACAGATAAAGACCCTTAAATCATTTACCAATCACTCTCATCATGCCACTGTAAAGATCCTGCAAGATGCAAAGATCATGATAGAACAAGACAACACACTTTAAATCATGTGTTAATTTGGAGATAGAGATAAGATTGTGAGTGAAGTGAGGTACATGAAGAACATTAGACAACTTAAGACCATTTGGCAATATAACAGAACCTATGTGAATGACAGAAAAATATTTTCCATTATGTAGCTGAACATATCTAGGAGTAGATGTACAAGGCACGGGATCAATCATGCATGTAAAATCTGACAGAATATGGTCAGTTGCTCCAGAATCCAAAATCCATTCAATTGGAGTATGAGCTAGAGAGCATAAAGTACTTGTTAAATTCATAGAGTAATATGGACTAGAAGTTGATTTGAAACCTGATGCATAAGCCCTAAAAGTTACTTATATTACTCTACAGTGAAGAATGGTGGAGTTGGAGAGACTGACTCGAGATCAGAATGAACAACCATGGCAGCCTGAGAGCCCTTTTTCTTGTTGAATTTGAAGTCGGGTGGAAATCCAATGAGCCTATAACAATTTTATTTCTTATGGCCCTTCACCTTGCAATGATCACATGTTCCATTGAACTTTCTACAAGTGCCAAAAACATTATAATACAAAGTTGTAGACTCCATAAGAGGAACTACTCCAGATAGTTGAAGACGATGAGATTTTTCTTGAATTATCATAAAGTACACACTATTGATTGAAGGTAAAGGCTGCATCAATAACAGTTAACAACAAATACCAACATACGAATCATTCAATCCCAAAGAAGTTTCAAACGCGAGAAATATGCAGAAATATAAAGTTCACCTTGAACCAGTGTCGCAATTTCACAATGAATGAAGAACACACACGAACCATCGACCTTATCAAAGCGTTTCTTGAGATATGCCTAAACTAAAGGTGTACTTGAGGTAAAAACGATACCAGCAGACAGCTCCCTGCTCACATAATTGATGATCCGGGTATTGCATCTGTCCCATTGAGCTTGAAAGGGAGATTAAAAATCATCACGGTAACAGACTTCATCAACAAACCCTAACTTATTCTTGGCAAGAAGAACGATTAGCATAGATCGACTCCAGATGGTGTAGTTGTCTAGCCCAGACAATTGATGTGAAATTAAAATCGTACTAGGAGTATCCGAAGGATGGAGATATAATGGATGATTGAAATCAATCACGGTGGAATCCGCCATCGGAATCGTTGTCGGTGGCATTGTAGCGGTCTCGTCGTTAGCTTAAAATGAACTGCTTCATAAATGTGAAACGAAAAAAAATCAAGAACGAGCACAAGAAGGAAAAGCCCAGTGATATTGATTAGCCCGATACCATGTTAAAATGTAAACCCAGAAAAAAATGAAAAATTACTTTTCATATCCACACACTTCATAAACTTACAATTTGTTCACTATATATACAAGTATCAATTCTAACAACCTAACTAATTCAAAAGTACTTCTAACTAATTACTAATAGAAAACTAACTGTAATCTTAACAAACTTGAAAAATATGTTTTTAATATTTTCCAATTTAGTCTAACATTTTTAAAAACACACTCAATCAGTTTCACGCTTTAAAGTTAAGTTTCCAAGCATTTTAGC